GTAATAATCTTTAGAATATATATTTTAGCAACATTTGTACTGATAATTAAATTGTGCGTTATTTGTTTATGTGCATTTTGCATAGAACAGAAAATGGTGTTCATACTGGTAAGGAATTAGATAGGCGTTGTGCTATATCTCCATCACTAAAAACGGACAGTAATACGTGCAGTCTTGATATTTACAATTTTGTCTTGACGTATGACCCAAAAGTTAAACTACACACTAATGAGCAAGCGTCAATCTAGCATTTCTTTTAAAATATTTCTAAAAAGAACCTAAAAACAATGCTGATCTACCTACCCCATGCCCCGTAGTTAGAGCGTCCGCCTCGGATGCGGGAGGTCGCGGGTTCAAACCCCAATCGAGTTACACCAAATTCTTGTAAGAATGGTACTAACACCTGGCTCACTAGGAAATCAACATTAAGAGGTTAGTGTCATGACAGGTCGGTCTGGTGTCAGGATAATGTGACTGAATAGAACGTCATCCAACATGAGTAGTATAGTGGCATTACAATACCCCTGGGGCGATATAGTAACAAGATTTATAGGGGCAAGGGAATTTGCATTACAAGACTTCCTGGGCTTATATAAAGACAAAAAAATTGGGTCTGTTTTATGACAATAAGAAAGTTACATGTGGGGTGACGTCGGGTCATTGGTAACTACGTTGCAAGTGTCTGACAGTACGGAACAGGTTGGGTGACATCACGTCATTGGTAACAATGTTGCAAGTGGCTGACCTGAATACAAGGCTACCTATGTAGTAGTCCGAGTTTCCTCTGACCCTTGACACCCCATTTTTGATATTTGGTTTTTTATGTTGGGTAAACTCGGACTATTCAAACGCATGGCCAAGTGGTCTAAGGCTTCCACCACTACTGATCACGTCACTTCTGTCCGCGTGTGTTCGAGCCTAAGACTCGGCCAGCGTAGGTATGTGAGAAATCTTACCAGTGGGTTCTCATGATTTTTCCTCCCCTGTGCGTGTGTGTGTGCGTGCGTGCGTGTATGTATGTATGTATGTATGTATGTATGTATTTTAAACAGGTTTGCATAATCAGACTCGTATTATGTAAATGATCCTTTCATTGGAAAGATAGGCATCTATCTGGACGCTGCTTTCTTCCCTATCTCGTCATGAATTTAATTCATCTAAGCAAAGTGGAGATGATATATCTGTCGCAATTTTTGGGTATTAGGCCTGAAACTTTTGCTTGGCATTGAATATCCTTGATAATGCTGGTGTGCCGTTCACTCTCATCCATCCATCTATCCATACATACATATAACATACATACATGCATGCATGCATACATACATACATACATACATACATACATACATACATACATACATACATACATACATACATACATACATACATACATACATACATACATACATACATTTGAGATAACCGTTATTAGTCTCTCATTCCCTGACTAGCTTCTGCTATTTAATATAGATTTCAAATTATGAATGACAAAGAGATAGATATAAAATAATGTTCAGGTTAATTTTGATTTTCAACTTTTACTATCAGCAAACAAACTAGCAATAATGGTGATAATTGATAAATTTATATCGATTGTTTATTAAGTTGAACGAAATCTGGGAACTGAGAGTAAACAATTCATTTCACAGCGACGGTCATTTATAATTGTTGGTGCGAGTACCATGGAAAGAAAATGAAGAGGACTGAAGATAAACAAAATGGGTGTTTTACCACTTCATAATCCAGTCCTCTTTTAGCTTTCTTTTAATGCAGTCATTACTTTAAAGTCATAAAAAAAAACTGCCTTGCCTGTACACAGAAGATTTATTTCCTTGAAAGTGACCTCAATGGGGAATACAATTGAGCCTACAAATACGCTAAAAAAATATTCAGTCATTTCCTACCAGCACCCAACTTGTATGCTGCAAGAAAACTAAATGTCAGAGCATTTATTTGTCATTGGAATAGATATCAGGCCCTTCCATTATAAAATTTTGACGAGCAATAAGGATTACTGCACACTTGGAAATAGCCAAGCTTTTGATTGGTAAAATTATTCTTGAGCTAGATTTGGAGTCAGTAAAATGTTATGATGGAGGAGCCAGAAATTTGTTTTCGCACCAGAGTTGCTAGGAGCCATACATTTGTTTTCGCACCAGAGTTGCTATTAACAACAGCAGAAATGGCAAAGCATTCAGTTATTTAGAAAAGCAGGATGTGTGTTCTTTGGTATTTGTTTGAGTATTTGGTTCATATACGACATCGTTGTAAATCTCGTGTTATGCAATGCAATGATTTTTAAACTATATGAGGGAGTTTCATATTATCAAATTTAGGAATTGTGAATAGTGAAGAAACAGCAAGTTGTTCAATGAAAAGTTATCCATCTTTTATGTATAAACTTTGAAATTAAAAGAATATGATTAAGCCCGTCTTTCACTTTTTAAACCACCTTTGACCATACTTGACAAATCATTTGCATGCAGAGATTAGTCGAAGCAAAGTCTAGTGGTTAGGGCGTCCGCCTCGGATGCGGAGGTCGCGGGTTCGAACCGCGGTAAAGTCCTACAATAGACTTTAAAAAATGATACTAATAGCTGTTTTGGTAGGTGCTCAGCATTATGAGGTTAGTGTTAGGACTGGTCGGTCTGGTGCCAGAATAATGTGACTGGCTGGGACATCATGCTACATGTCTTTGGCATGATGCCACAGTGCTTGAGATCACAATAGAATGCCACACTGCAGAAATAGTAGCGACAATAAACACGATAAAGCTACATTAAACACACACACACACACACACACACATACACACACACACACACACACACACACTGACTATACGTCTATTTTTATTTCTCTCTGTACATGTTTTTATTAACTTTCCTTTAACACAGGATTGCTTCATATATACGGTAACCATCTTCACCAAACTCCACAGACAAGTTCATCTCTAAGAAAGAAAAAACTGCAGTTGGGAGCAAAATGTCAATATCACTTCTGCTCCATAACAGTATATTTCTGCGTCACAGACCTGGATTTTTTAGGTTGTCTTACACTTGTAGCGAGGAAATTGTCTAATGGCTTTGAGTTCATAAGGTCAGTGGTGATGGTCTGACTGACAAAATCAATGACAAATACTACGTCACAGACTTTTACTCTCCAAATCTTTTGGAACTGGAAATTATGGAAATTTCTCGAAAAAATTATAAAATAAATATTTGTATCTGATAGTCTATCTTAAGTCTACGTCAAAATTCACCCAAATCCACATAAAAAGTATAAAAATTCACCCAAATTTATACCTAACGTACCCTTGATTCATGAAATGTACATATTATGCTATTTAGATATCACACGTTACACGAGAGTATCAGTAATGTTAATAAATTTCAGTAGCATATTTGCAAGCAAAGGTCCCTATATGATAGACATATCTTCACCTTGGCGGATCAAACAGATATATTTATGCTTTGTCCAAGCAACATCTATTGGATTTGACGAGTGGCCTCCCTTACTGTGTAATGACAACTAACATACAAAGGCTATTCCAGATACAGTTTTTTTTTTTCTCTAGATTAATCAAATACACAACATTGCTATTTAATGTTAGCCATTTAATTTTCACTTGGTACTTCGTGGAGGTGTAACAAGAGATTATTGACTTGTAATAAATTTAATAGTCACCAAACATTTTAGTAGCCTTTTTTGTTTATTTATTTCTTAATCGAACGTAAAAAAAAGAGTGAAAAACAATTTTTGTCTCTTTTCCTGACCTACTTATCGTTTTAATCACTAAATAGAAACAAATAAATTTCGTTTGGAATTACCAGATTTATTACCCGAGTGAAAATGAATGTGTACTTTTTAAGGGGTGGAATCAGTAGATAAGTAATACTATTTTGGTTTAAAAAATTCAAGACGATTGCTGATATCTATTTTATCACATTTAATTTAAAGAACTGATATATATATATATATATATATATATATATATATATATATATATATATATATATATATATATATATATATATAATCTCATTTAATTTAAAGAACTGACATATTCTTACCCTTTATCGACTTTAATGTTACAGTATAGGTTTGTGTAATATATAATACCTAATTAACTTATACCTTGTCTATTACTCGTATCAAATGTTTATTTTTTTTATTTGGGATATAGTTTAGGTGGATTTTGAGTAGTAGAGGAAAGTAAGAATCCGAGCTCAACAACCCCCTCCAGACCTCCAAACAAATACAAAATACCTAGGTAACGTAATAGATCACCTGTTGCAATCAATAATTGTGTTAAGAATCCGAGCTCAACAACCCCTCTCCCCACCCCTCCAGACCTCCAAACAAATACAAAATACCTAGGTAACGTAATAGAACACCTGTTGCAATCAATAATTGCGCTAAGAATCCGAGCTCAACAACCCCTCCAGACCTCCAAACAAATACAATAGAACACCTGTTGCAAAATACCTAGGTAACAGGTAAAATTTAATTACGTGATCTTCCAGAATAAGCAAAATGATATGTCAGACTCAATTTTCCAAATCATTATGATTTAGCAGAGCGTGGCGATTGTGGACTAAATTACGCATTAGAATTTCAATAAGGTAAGTGGTATTATATAAAATTTTATGTTATATCATACTTCTTTTGATAATCTTTCTCATATTTGCTGATCCTCATGGGTAGAATATCTGTTAACATGTTGTCAATAATACGAAATTCACGTATTAAATCGTCCATACTATATTTTACTCCTCGTAGGTAAGATCTTATTTGATCAAGTAGTTTTTTGTAAGTTATAATTGATGTTAAGCAGCCGTGCTTTTTTATCAAAATTTTAGGTTCAACTTTTTTACAAGCTGCTGTAAGAGAAACACCAACACCGGATATGATTAACAAAAACGGGTTTAATGATACACCACTTGAAATTATGCCAGAACTAGTCATTAACAAGGGTAGATATGATATTACTCGAAGTATTTTGTTATAATATTTGTAGCATTTTTTTACGCACCAAAGTTTTTTGTGATAATATTTGTAGTATTGTATTAGTGCGTCAACATCCTGTCCTGGAATATCTTTTGAAATATGATTGAAATCAACTATACTTTTTTTCATTATAATATTTGTTCACATAATCTCAGGCTTGATTAAGTAACTAGTTGAGGTGTTTCAGCCACAAATTCCAGACAATACCAATATGACGCAGCAGTTAATTTTTTGTCATCTGCTATTAGCATAAAAGTTTCTTCAACATCTTTGTTTAACACAATAGACACGGTTCCAGAGAAATTATCAGTCGAGTGACGCCATGGAAATAAAGTAAATATATTAAACTTTGCACTGCTCAACACGGACAATCTATACACACCAGTGACCTCTGCAGTATGTTTGAGAGTGTTATTTTGCGGTGACCAAGTAGACATTCCAGAAGCAACAGTATAGACAATATTTTTAATCTGCTTGTGAGGAATTTTAATCATCCTTGTTTTCTCAACAATACTAGGAATTCCACTAATAATATCGTTGAGTTTTGTGTTAATATTATCGAGTGTAATATCAACAGATGGCGGACTTCCAAAAAATTCGTTATTGGTTTTGTTTATGTTTCTGCGAAAATTTAAAAACGTGGTGATGTGATTAGTAAAATCAGTTTTGAACTTGGTGATTTCATTGTTGATATCATCAACATATTTCTTTGTTACAGCATCAAAATCAAACTCTGGTGTTCTAAGATTATTGATGCCATTATTGTTCATGTTGAGAAATGCACGCATTATACCGCCATGCATCGACACGTACTTTGATTCCTGATCATCAACATATTTCTTAGTAGCAGCGTCATTATCCTCAGTTGGGTTTCCAAGGTATGTGATCTTGTTCTGGTTCATAGCAATGTTTCCCGTAAATAAATCACCTGCTTTTCTAACATAATCGTTAACTGACCTACCCGAATCTTCTATCTTACCTTGATTATTAAAAGTAACAATATTATTAGCAACTGCAGTAGGATTTCGTACTAGTACATCTGATAGTTGTACATTACTCGTCTTTAATCGTCCTTGTTTGTCCTGGAAAACTACAACTTCATTTGGATCTACACTTGCAACGTTTAACAAATTGTTGATTTCATTTTTGAGCTTATCAAGAGTCGCATACTTGGATAAGTCACCCTGGTAACCTTCTGTTAATAAATCTACTGCTAATGTTCCAAATTTTGTATAGTAGCTCATTATACATACCGTTTTACACAAAATTGTTGGTTTAATATAACATAAAATTATACGATGGCGAAGATAATAAACTTTGACACCGAGCGATTGGTGAAGCATAAACATAGCAATGAACTTCCAGACTGTCATTATCTTATTGTTGGGCGAACTGGATCTGGTAAAACAAATTTGTTATTAAATCTTTTACTCAATAATAACTTTAACTATGATAAGGTGTATATTTACACCATCAACCCCCAACAAGACAAATACGAGTTACTAAGTGAGTATAATGATAAACTTCGTGATGAACTTTGCATTGGTGATGATATATTTTTGATAAAACAACCAGAAGAACTCGTTCCAGTGAATGAACTCGATTCGTCAGAGCATAAGATAATCGTCTTTGATGATATTCCGCTAAACAATGAGGAAATGAACAAGATTAGATCATATTTTTCACTATCACGTAATAAAAGATGTAATTCTGTTTATCTTGCCCAAGGTTTTTATAATGTTGATAGGTTTATTAGGCGAAATACGGGTTGTTTCATATTATTTCCCGGACTAGATAATGTGGATGTGAGAAATATTGCAAACGAACAATGTGGTGATGTTACAAAAGATAAATTTATCGAATTATATCATCGAGCAACTAAAGATAGATATAGTTTCTTTTTATTTGACAAGCTAGCGCGTGATCCAACCAAGATGTTTCGTTGTTGCCTTGAGACGTTTCTATGATATAATTTTGTAAAGCGTATAAAAATAATGGACAAACATCAACAGAAAATCGAATTACTAAAAAATTTTCTCGAAACTCGAGCGGCTTTTAAGAAAAAGGTGGAAGAAGCTCGACGTGGACAAGTTCAAGCAGAAGAAGAAAGAACCAAATTTTTCAAACCTGTTACTGAGGCGATGCTTGGCAAGCAGCCAGAAATACAAACATTATCTCCAGAAGAACTAGCAAAAATGAAAGAAAAGGGTTTGTTTGGTTTACTTGGAGAAAGATCAAAAGAAGAAACTGTAAAAATTGTAAACGAACTTGTAAGAAACATTGCTGATCCTGCTGCACGACAAGCTGAGTTTGACAGGCTAATGAACAATCCTCTTGAACTTCAACACGCAATAACAAGATTGACGGTTAATCCCGATGAGATAAGAAGTATGATGGAAAAATTGTCAGAACAAACTGAGGAATTAGCTGAGAAACAAAAAACGTTACAAGAAAGTATGATAAAAATGGTACCTTTTGGAGAATCTATAAAAATTTACAGAAGACAAGCTAGGTTTAAAATAGAAGATGTTGAGTATGAAGAGTTTATGGAAAA